AGGCAGTTCTACATCGTGAACTTCTTCATGTACACGTTTCTTTGGCCCATATTCACTCTCTTCTTCACCAACCTCTTGCGATTTGTTCCACCCCACTCCTTGATCGGTTCAGCCATCCACATCTTCGCGCTCAACTTCAGGGTCTGGACAACACTCTCCTCCTTGCCCTACGTGTCAATCACACTGCCGCCCACTATACACACGAACTCCTCACCGCCCTGGGTCTACTCCATATCCTGCATCACAGTTCAGAACAACTCGAAGATGAACTACAAGGTCGCAGAGCCTTTGCGGATCGCCCACCTCTTTCCGCCACATCGCTCTTCCCCACCTATTACGACTTCTTCTTCAATTACCAGATCAGGGGGCACTTCAGCTCGTGACCTACCTTCAGGAGTCCGGCCTCATTTCCTACCTGATGGGTGGCCTTGCAGAGACTCGCCTCAGCCCTGGACCTCAGCAACATTTATGGACCACACCTTTCTGGCGTCACATCATCCTCATCATCCCCACCGGCACTCACAACCTTGGGATGGACATCCCCAACCACACTTTTCAGCCTTGGGATCGCCTTCTTCACCTCGTTGAAAATCATCGTCAAGCTCTCGTCGACTCGTGGATGATGACTCCCGCCCTTTCAGCTGGGAAGAATGCGAGCCCATGCATGTACATTTGGATGGCATGTGCCAACGAAGACCCATCCAAGCTGCCGTGAAAACATACCTAACAGTCGGTGCCGTGGCTCATAAACACACACACACACACTTGAGATATTGTGTACGGAACTGAATGCGGTGCCACACGCCGGCCTAGGATTCCATTTCCTAAGGGTTCAGGTAAAAACAACCTAGAAGGAAGGAAAGGGCCAACCAGCGGGAGTCTGCGAAACGATCGAGCGACAAGGACGACGGAACGTGCAGGAAAGTCTAGTTCATCGCAGCTGAAGGAAACAACGAAGTAGACAGCTTGTGCTCTACGTAGGGTTCTCTTCAAGCAGGTACGTCAATCCGGCGTCCCGGATTGATTTCACAGACCAGTGCAAGCGTCTTTGTTAGTGCCAGACTTGCACGGTCCCTGGCGCCCCCTGCTGTATAGCAAATGCAAAAGCATCCCTATGACTCCAAGGGTGACACACACACGCCTCCCCGAGGGGAGGCAAAATTAAGGCTAGGACGAATGTGCAAATGTGCGCGCAGAAAGGACAAAAGGATGAAGACATGAAAAGGAAGACAGACAGGACAAAAATGTGTGTGGTTGCAATGAAAGGGAAACCAAGTGCACAGGGACAACCGATGAGCCCACCTCATTGTCGAGACCTGGGCGACCTAACACCTGAGTTGAACGTAGACGTGCGCGTACACACTAAGGCCCGGACCATTGTACGCGCAAAAGAACGAAAGGAGTGAGATGAACGGACATGAAGCAAGGGAAGACATGAAAAGAAAGAGGAAAAGAAGTGTGTGTGAAGGGGAAAGGTGAAAGGGGAACCAAATGGAGGGGACGGGAACCGATGAAACCAAACCTCATTATAACAACCTAGGTAGACCTGCCTCGTTGAAGTGTGTACGATGTATGTGCACCTAAGGCTCCCACAGGTTCCAATGAACCTTGAACAAACTTCGGCCGCTGCGGCCACGTACGCCGTGCCAACATGGCTGGCTGCTTTGACCGCTGCGGTCACGTAAAGGCATGAGCCAACTTGGAATTCCAAAGATGGGACAAAGATCATCGGACGTACGGCCTGGGCCACCTCCGCCCGCTGTGGGCACTTACGTTTCCAGAGCAAGGGAAACAGCGACATACACCCGTTCAACGGGTCCACGGGAGGCACTCTGCGGGCTCATCCCGGGTTGGCGCGAAGCCAAACACACTTGAGATATTGTGTACGGAACTGAATGCGGTGCCACACGCCGGCCTAGGATTCCATTTCCTAAGGGTTCAGGTAAAAACAACCTAGAAGGAAGGAAAGGGCCAACCAGCGGAAGTCTGCGAAACGATCGAGCGACAAGGACGACGGAACGTGCAGGAAAGTCTAGTTCATCGCAGCTGAAGGAAACAACGAAGTAGACAGCTTGTGCTCTACGTAGGGTTCTCTTCAAGCAGGTACGTCAATCCGGCGTCCCGGATTGATTTCACAGACCAGTGCAAGCGTCTTTGTTAGTGCCAGACTTGCACGGTCCCTGGCACCCCCTGCTGTATAGCAAATGCAAAAGCATCCCTATGACTCCAAGGGTGACACACACACACACACACACCTGTGCCGGCGCCGGCACTGTTTGGGAGAACCCCTGTCACGAAGATCCAGCTTCTTAGATTGATGGATGTGAGTAGTGATAGCTGCGCAATTGAGTCAAGGGCATCTTCAAGTGCAGGGTCTCTCCAAGCGCAGAAGAAGCAGGTCTCTTGGAGGTGACAATGTCTGGTGGTGATGAGGGGGAGGCGCCTAACAGTCGGTGCGGTGGCTCATGCCCCGACGGCCTCACTACTCGCTCTCCTTTTCCCGGTTCCCACATTCTCACCCCCCTGTTTCCGGTTCCTCTACCTCTACACCTTGGACTACCAATGAGGGGGAGGCGCCTAACAGTCGGTGCGGTGGCTCATGCCCGACGGCCTCACTGCTCGCTCTCCGTTTCCCGGTTCCCACTTTCTCACCCCCCTGTTTCCGGTTCCTCTACCTCTACACCTTGGACTACCTCCTCTCGGACTCTCGTCTCTGACCTTGGACCAAACACACCGCCGCCCTCTGGATGGACGTAGTCTCCATGGACACCTTTGGCGTGCCATTTGGCGAACCGGCGCCACATGTGAACAACCTGACCCCACACCTGTGCCGGCACCGGCACTGCTTGGGAGAACCCCACCATGGTCCGGAGCTTAGTTGAAAAGGAATTCCTCCCCTCGGGGAGGCGTGTGTATGTGTGTGCCCTCTCGATTCAAGAGGTTCGAGTCGGAATGCTTTCTTTTCCTTTTCCGTGACAGGAGGGGACCTTTGGAGTCACGAAGTTGCTGATGGAATGGGTTTTTTCTTTTCTTTTTCCCTTTTTGTTTGGTTTTAAAGCGGTGGGAGTCAAGGGCATCTTCGAGTGCAGGGTCTCTCAAACCACAGAAGAAGCATGTCCTTGGACGTGATAATGTCTGGTGGTGATGAGGGGGAGGCGCCTAACAGTCGGTGCGGTGGCTCATGCCCGACGGCCTCACTACTCGCTCTCCTTTTCCCGGTTCCCACTTTCTCACCCCTCTGTTTCCGGTTCCTCTACCTCTACACCTTGGACTACCAATGAGGGGGAGGCGCCCAACAGTCGGTGCGGCGGCTCATGCCCGACGGCCTCACTGCTCGCTCTCCTTTTCCCTGTTCCCACTTTCTCACCCCCCCCTGTTTCCGGTTCCTCTACCTCTACACCTTGGACTACCTCCTCTCGGAGCTCTACGCTCTCGTCTCTGACCTTGGACCAGACACACCGCCGCCCTCTGGATGGACGTGGTTTCCTACATGGACACCTTCGGCGCGCCACTTGGCGAGCCGGCGCTACACGTGAACAACCTGACCCCACACCTGCGCCGGCGCCGGCACTGCTTGGGAGTACCCCTGTCACGAAGATCCAGCTTCTTAGATCTATGCATGTGAGTAGTGATAGCTGCACGATTGATTCAAGGGCATCTTCGAGTGCAGGGTCTCTCCAAGCACAGAAGAAGCAGGTCACTTGGAGGTGAAAACGGCTGGTGGTGGGGATGAGGGGGAGGCGCCTAACAGTCGGTGCGGTGGCTCATGCCCGACGGCCTCACTACTGGCTCTCCTTTTCCCGGTTCCAACAACCTGACCCCAGATCTCCGCCGGCGCCTGCGCTGCTTGGGAGAACCCACCATCGTCCGGAGCTTAGTTGAGAAGGAATGCCTCCGCTCGGGGAGGCGTGTGTGTGTAACCCTTGGAATCACAGGGATCCTTTCGGATTGTTTTGCTTTATTTTCGAATTTTCAGCAGGGGGCCCATGGACACTTGGATGGCATGGGCCAACGAAGACCCATCCAAGCTGTCGTGAAAACGTACCTGCTTGGTGCACCTGGGCGCATTATAAGATGCAGCTGGTGGCCACCCTTCTTCCTTTTGTAAAGTGCTAGTGAGCTCCGCAGACTTGCACGCCACCACGTCATCTTGTCGGTTCGTCGCTCGTCTTTTTCCCTTTGGGCCATACTTCCTCTTGAAGACCTCCAGGATCCAGTGGTTTATACGTGTACCCTTAGGAAATGGAACCCTAGGCCGGCGTGTGGCACCGCTTTCAGTTCAGTACACCCTATCCTAAGTGTGTGTTTGTGCGCTAGAGTGCGGAAAAACTCGCAACAGTTCACCGACCTTGTCTCGTTCTACGAACCACACTGGGCACAGGGGTCCCTCGCCAGGATGATAACAGGAAACATTCTACCCCAACAGAGCACCTTTTGTGGGCCAACAGAGGGCAAGTTTAGAACAGCAAGGGGGTCCAACCTTACACCTTTTCTGCCACCCGACGGTAAAAGTGAGAGCGGTAAGTAACCGCTTCAACCTTGCACACCTTTTGTGGGCAAATGGAAGGGACCAATGTTTTTAGCACCAAGGAGAAGAAAGACTCAAAGGTATATATAATTATAGAAGACTTTTGGAAGTCAAGTACCTTTCCTCTTCTATATCCCTCCCATTGCCCCCACATCCCCCGATGTCGTCCACGCACGTGAGTTGCCGGAAACATGTGCCAATGACGTAGCTGCCTGCTCCGTTCCTAGAAACAACCATTTCCTGATCGAAATGGTAAGTTAGTTGGTTTGCGTGCGTTTCCAACAGCGATGGCCTCCAACCTAGTAGCGATGGCCTCCAACCTAGTAGCGA